ACTTTCAACCAAACCAGCTGAATTCTTCGCAGTTTCAGATTCCGCTTTCCTTGCAGACTGCCTGTGCAACCGAAGGGCTTCGAGATTTACCTTTCTACAACACATGAATAGTTTTCAGTGATCATGGTTTCACTCAATGGAACTCAGGAAGAAATCTCTAATCTCCATCTATTACTTCAAATGGGACATAATGGTGATTTCTCTGCTATTACTAGCACATACTGTTATCTCATTGCACCTATAGAACCATTCAGGCTCATTTTTTGATAAAGTTTATTCTTTCAGTTTAACAGCATCCATATATCTGGAAGCAAAAATAATTCAAAAAAGTCCCCTATTCAGACTAATATCTGCCGTGATCAGCCCTCCAACTGGAGCTTTAAAAAACGTATTTTATTTCACACACCAGACCAATCATTACATTCAAACTTAATGCTGGGAATTGTCAGCGAACCAAGTTTCTACCTGAAGTCATCATTTTATTCATATCTTATGCAGCATCACTCAAGTGATAAATTACCATCCTTCCTAACGCAGTACTTCCTGCTTCCACCCACAGAAGGAAAAAAAAAAAAAAAAAGATTAACCTTATTCCATCTCTCTTCTGACAGTTCAGATGGATGACTTGAATAAATGACTAGATGAATATGGCTTCAGCCATCAAATGTAACATTATTTACGCAAATGCTTCAATATTGCATACATCCAATTTGGGAAGCAGGGGAGGAAGGTGAGCATCTAGGCCCCCACTGGGCCTTTCCGTTTTTATAGCATGCTGGGAGAGCCTCAAAAAGAAAAAGGTTGAGAAGCCCTGCTCTACATCATAGAATACACCTGAACATTGAAAAACAAGTTTGGGATGTGGAGCCTAAGCTTAAAATGCAACCGTTTTCCTGGTCCTCTTGGATCCATTTTTTCCTAAACGAGAAGAGCAAAATAGGAAATCAAAATACTCCACTGATTTTATTCTGAGTATCACTTACTCTACAGGTTTCAGAGTAGCAGCCGTGTTAGTCTGTATTCGCAAAAAGAAAAGGAGTACTTGTGGCACCCTAGAGATGAACAAATTTACAAATAAATGTGTTAGTCTCTAAGGTGCCACAAGTACTCCTTTTCTACTTACTCTACAGTTCACTTATACATACAGCCAGCAGCTCTAGCTGTTACGGTCAGAAAAGAGAAATCTGTGTGTACTTTGAGTGATTCACTTATAAATCAGATAAACAAGAACAAACTACAAATATTTCCTGGAGGATTTTCTTATGGTTAAACCAAGAATACTCCCGTAACAGCACCTGTTCTGACTGATTGCTACAGTAGTTACCAATCCAGCTCAGCCAGTTGTATAGCCAGACTAAATACATCTAAATTAAGAGATGATTTAATCAACTTCTAAAATGAAAATGGACTAGATTTTTAACCATGTTATTTGATATTTTTAAGTTAAAGGATCAATAGAATAATGGGACCAGAAAATGGTCCTCAACTATTTAAGAATTATTATAAGGCTATTTTCTAGCAGGCTTAGCACAGATAATAAGGATGCTCTAGAACAGTTAGTGTTAGCTTTACATTCATCTGAGTTACATACTCACATTTCTACCTTTTTTTCAGAAGCCAGTGGAAATATCAGTTACCAACAATAAATTAAATAATGGCTGGAGGTGTACAGATATTGACACAGCTGCTCCTACGTTCATGAGAGACCTGAGTCTCAACTCAACATTTGAGTACCTCATCTGTAATTCCACTTTAGGATACCTTTTCTGCTGTCAATAATAAGCACTAGCAACTTTAGTACCCCTATTCTGCTTGATTTAACAAGCATTCTTATTCTGCCAAACCTTGTCAGGCTCATCTGTTCTGTTCGGCAGTGTGCATCAGAAAAAGCAAGAGCAAGTGTTGTAAATAAAGGAAAGGGGTAGAAATATGTAGCACCGAAAATAAGGCAACACATTAGGTGAAATGCAGAGACTGAAAGTCTGCTGGAAATACTGCAAAATCTTGCATTTCCAGCAGGCCTTTTCACAAAGACTTTCACTAGACTATGCTCCCTTTCCACTGGCAAAAGCACCAACCAAACAATCCTCAAACAAAATCAATATTAAATAAAGTTACTACAATTTTAAAAAGCACCCGCTTTTATCCCACTCTGGGAGAAGTCCCTGAGACTTCATGACATCCACCAGAAACTTGGCCACGGCTATCAATTTTACAGAAAAGGTGCTCAGATACTACAGTGATGGATGGCAGGAAAAAACAAAGATTGTTAACAGACGAGACCAGTGGTTCTCAAACTTTTGTATTGGTGACCCCTTTCATACAGCAAGCCTATGAGTGTGACCACCCCCATATATTAAAAACACTTTTTGAATATATATATTTAACACCATTATAAATGCTGGAGGTGAAGCAGGGTTCGGGGGTGGAGGCTGACCGCTTGCGACCCCCCCATGTAATAACCTCACAACCCCCCCAGTCTGTACTAGACTATGAGGAGCAATGGCTCCAAGCATGGCAGTGTACACTCAATTAAGGGACCTTTTAGAGAGAATTTTATGAGCTTGGATGCATTTACATTTCCTAATCAGTATATGGCTACCATTCAAGGCATCACGCAATATGAACATATACAAGTATTTTTGTCAATTGAAGACTTCAGTTGGCCACATAACTTTGTGGTATACCTTTAGACTCATGGGCTCCATAGCTACAGACCCTCCTCTACCATATACATATTTTTAATTGAGGATCAACACTTGTTTTTAGAAAGCTTCAAAAATTGTACAATTCATAAAAGGAATGTTTTATACCAAATGTGTATCAGGAACTTCACAAAACAAGCAGCCCAAGACAGCCCTGAGGAGCTTACAGTTTAGAATCTAAGTATCATATATGTGGGAAGAAGCAAACAATTGAAAGGTGCCAAGGAAGGACAGAGTAAGATCATGTGGTGGTGCTGTCTTCATTTAGTGATCCAAAGTCTCATCTTATTCCTGAATACACAAGAATCCAAAGCACACATGATTAGCACGTAAACTGTGGATTCAAAGCAGGATGTGCACCCAGCCCTCTCACCTCCCGGCAAAAATCTTAAAGTTGTTTCAACTCCCAAGTTGCCTGACCACTTCAGAGAATGACAAAGTGAACTGAAGTGACAAGTACAGCTGTAGTCATTTGTGTCCTTTACGCGTAGGAACATGTCATTTTACACACATGGCTGCCATTAAAAAAACAGAAAGATTGTTTTGAGCAGGCCAAAGTGAGAGAGTCACGAGTGTACACCAGGCCTCAAAAGTCTCTGGATTCAAACAGCCTTTTCCACCAGATGAAGTTTGTCTGCTCATGATTTTCCCTAGTCCTTTTGTCACTTTTCTTCCAAAGTCTACTAATATGGACCCCACCTAGTCACCTTCGGACTTACAGTAACTCCTCACTTAACGTGTCCCAGATAACGTTGTTACGTTGCTGATCAGTTACGGTACATGCTCGTTAAAAGTTGCGCAATGCTCCCTTGTAACATTGTTTGGCAGCCGCCTGCTTCGTCCACTGCTTGCAGGAAGAGCAGCCCACTGGAGCTAGCTGGTGGGGGGCTTGGAACCAGGGTGGGCTGGCAGCCCGCATCAGCTCCCCTAAGTTCCCTGTGCAGCAGCCGCCCAGCAGCTCAGCTGTCCCTCCCCACACCGCCCTGTGCTGCTCCTGCCCTCTGCCTTGGAGATGCTCCCGGGAGCCTCCTGCTTGCTGTGCAGGGTGGGGGGAAAGAGGGTTGCTAATATCAGGGTGTCCCCCTCCCCCTCGCTCCTGTACCCTATCTTCACAGAGCGGGGGTCGGGGCGGGGGGGGGGGGAAGGGCTCAGGAGGGAGGGAGCTTGCTGGCAGCAGCTGCTGTCTCAACTTGCTGATCTACTTAAAAAGGCAGTGTACTTAGAGTGGAGTCAACATACTTAAAGGGGCAATGCGCGTCCTTCTCTCTCTCTCTCACACACACACACACCTGTGTGTGTGTCTCTGTCTCTCTCACTCACACATGGTGTGTGTGTCTGGCTCACACACACGCACCCCCCTCCGCTTCCCCCCCCCCCGGCACTTTGGAAAGTGGAGGGAGTGGTGCGCTCCAGTGGGATAGCGTGGGTTCATCATCACGTTCTGTTTCCACAGGGAATGCTTGCAGCCACTGCCATGCTGTGACTCCTCCCTTCATTTGTGCTGCCTTGTAGAGTGTGAGGTTCCATTAACAACAATGTGTTAACCCTTGAGGGCTTAGCCGAGTGCTAGTTAATCATTTGGTAGTAACACGTTCCCTGGGAAATATCCCACCCTCTGACTCCACCACCTCAACGAAGCTTCACAATCATCATTGCTGTGTACAGTACCAAATTGTTTGTTTAAAACTTATACTCTGTGTGTGTAGGTATAGTCTTTTGTCTGGTGAAAAAAAATTTTCTGGAACCTAACCCCCCGCATTTACATTAATTCTTACAGGGAAATTGGATTCACTTAAAATCGTTTCACTTAAAGTAGCATTTTTCAGGAACATAACTACACGTTAAGCGAGTAAACATTAAACACATTTGTTCCCATGCAAGTAAAGATCTGGTCCTTCATCCCACTGCTTGGAGAAACTATTTGCTGGATGTTTATACCCGAATGCTCCTTTTGGAGACAGTTAAAAATAGTGAGGGACTTGCATGGCCAGTGTAGCCTTCACTAATTAGACTTCTCTGGCTTCTATTCACTTAATGTTTATTTGAAGCCCTCAAAGCTCAGGCACTACACTTGCTCTTCAGCTTGATTTTTCTTTTATAACATATCCGGAACGTTGAGCAGTTCATACGTTTTTCTAAAGAAAGTACTATGGTGATTAAAGCATCTGGGCCGAAGATAAATAGAAAAGATTCTTTAGAAGTATTAAAGTAAGTTTTATATCACTAGAGCGCCCACTGAAGTTAAACCACCATTAGCCATTCAAATTTACAAGTAAAAGTAAAGAGAAATCTTACCTCAAAATTTAAGTTCATTTAATTAAAAAAAAACCAAGGTTGGCTGAAAGTGTTGCTTGACCATAGGGAATATTTCCAGTCACCAGATCTGTAACATCAGGAAATAAACAAATTACTTTCTTATTCACTATCCATTCACATCTAGTCTTCAAGTGCCTCATTGCAGCACACTGGGAAGGAAATAACTCAGGAAAGTATGAGTTTCCTTTTTGTCCATGAGAGTCAGAAATTTGCAGTGCCAATAAGGATAGAGTTGCTCAGATACAATTTTAAGAGAATGAAATTAAATGTAGGTCTCTACATCACACATTCAGACTGACATTTAAAAGCTGGTGTTCAAAGAGACATGACCCGAGTGCAGCTCAGTACCTTGCTACAACTTATTAATATTGGTTTCAAACAATATTGTTTTTTAATATTAATACAATATTAATATAATGGTTTGAAACATAAGACAAAGCCTTTAAAAAAGACTGAAAAAGTGAATTGAATAACCTCTGTTTCTAATTTTAACAAAAAAAAACCCCCATAACATACAGATTTCAATCTCATTTGCACAGGACAAAAAATACGTCACTGAGCCTAAGCGTGAGTTATAAGTTTAAACTTAAATATCTTTTCTTTGAAGAGCCGTGAGAAGAGCAGTACTTTTTCTTTGAACACTAGCAAAAATTACAGCTTGGTGTTCTTTGCTGTGGTAACCTCTCCAAGCGTAGCAATATGAAAGGACAAGCAGAAGCAAGCCTGAATTGTACTGCTGCATACATTCCTCAGACATTCAATGCGAGCGGAGTGTATTTTTTAAAATATGTATGTTTCTTGATCTTTTTCTTTAGTATCCATCCCAAGTTCTTGGCACTTTACAGCAACTGAAATATATACAAAGTCACGTTACTGCACTCTGTTCCATATTTTGACCATCTACGTTTCAGTTTGGTCTACATTTCTTTTTAGAAAGAGAATGACGTTTATGGCCTTGTCTACACTAGAAAGTTGTACCCCTTTTGTCATACTAGTAAAGCTAACTGCATTTATTTTAGGGGGATTGAACTAATTTATGTTGGTTAAGAAAGTGATCAGTACCAGTATAGCTCTTCCTGTATGGGAAGGGAAATAAACTATAACAGTATAAGACACCTTTATGCCAGCCTAACTGCACCCACATTAAGGACTGTACCAGTATAAATTTAACTGTATCAGTAAAAAAAAAATCCCATTCCTAACGAACATAATTAGACCAGTGCAACTTTCAAGTGCAGATCAGGCCTATGGTAAAGCAACTAGAATATTCAACTGAACAGAGTCAAATAAAAGCAGCCATCCTGTGCCCTATGGACTGCTCGCTTAAATTCAATTTCTTTCTAAAGATAAAGTTATCTTTAACACGCATAATTTTGTATACATAATACATTCCCTTAGGAGGTTTGCGTACAAAGAATTTAGTTGGACACAGAAATTGCATAGGTGTTATTATAAACATGTATTCATATTACAACACCACCCAAAAGCCCAGTCAGTATAGGGCCCCGACTGTGCTAGGTCCCTACTTTCAAGAGCTCACCGTCTACTTTTTACAATTATATTTGTAGAAGTTAACTGATACTATTCAAGAGTAAAGGTGTTAGCGCTCCCAACTGCATCAAACTGCATTCAAATGTCACAAATCTTCTATTTTAGATACAACTGATCAGCTATCTGAGGTAGCATTAAGTGTTACAATTTGTACCAAATTGAAAATTTCTAAAAGGTGTCAGTTACTTGACTTTAAATATTAGTGTCCAGTTACAGTATTACGGTCACCTGCATCTCACTACACCAACACTATTTCATGTTCACTGATACCATCATTTTAAATTCTTTGTTAGTAAGGGGCATAGTCTTTGAGCCCTGTTGGATCTCCAACTTCTTAGATTATCATGCAATAATCAAGAGTGTTTTCACCTTAAGTTGGCGACTTAGTTACTGTAAGCCCGGTCTTTGCCACATCTACATAGAAAACTACTTGCATGAAGAGTGAATTATATTTGGAGACCACTGAAACCTCAGCTACTGCACAGGGTGGCAGCCCCCCACTCGGTGTTGCTTCTTGCTAGTTGTATATGACACTGGATATCCATATCCACCAAACATTTTCCTAGTTCAGTGTAAGATGCTGGTTTTGACCCAAGTGGTTTGGAAACTGGTCACCTTGGAGATTACCCCTCAATGTCCGTCATGCTCAAGCAAAGGCAACTCTGGCACTATCTAAAAATCCTGATGTAACTAGTGAGAACATGGTGGCGTAATGTTCAGTGAGAAGTTCCTGACTTAAACTTCCTCTGACAAAGCCAGTGTGTTGGCCTTCAGATCACTTTGAGAGGCTTATCTACTCAGACAAACTTTATCCAGACATATGGGAAAGTTTGTTGTTCCTTTCACAATGTGAGGATGTATTTGTTGCACATGCTAAATATGAAGAAATTAGTAAAGAGCATTGCAGAAAACAATTTGGGATTTCATAGAATCATAGAATATCAGGGTTGGAAGGGACCCCAGAAGGTCATCTAGTCCAACCCCCTGCTCGAAGCAGGACCAATTCCCAGTTAAATCATCCCAGCCAGGGCTTTGTCAAGCCTGACCTTAAAAACCTCTAAGGAAGGAGATTCTACCACCTCCCTAGGTAACGCATTCCAGTGTTTCACCACCCTCTTAGTGAAAAAGTTTTTCCTAATATCCAATCTAAACCTCCCCCACTGCAACTTGAGACCATTACTCCTCGTTCTGTCATCTGCTACCATTGAGAACAGTCTAGAGCCATCCTCTTTGGAACCCCCTTTTAGGTAGTTGAAAGCAGCTATCAAATCCCCCCTCATTCTTCTCTTCTGCAGGCTAAACAATCCCAGCTCCCTCAGCCTCTCCTCATAACTCATGTGTTCCAGACCCCTAATCATTTTTGTTGCCCTTCGCTGGACTCTCTCCAATTTATCCACATCCTTCTTGTAGTGTGGGGCCCAAAACTGGACACAGTACTCCAGATGAGGCCTCACCAATGTCGAATAGAGGGGAACGATCACGTCCCTCGATCTGCTCGCTATGCCCCTACTTATACATCCCAAAATGCCATTGGCCTTCTTGGCAACAAGGGCACACTGCTGACTCATATCCAGCTTCTCGTCCACTGTCACCCCTAGGTCCTTTTCCGCAGAACTGCTGCCTAGCCATTCGGTCCCTAGTCTGTAGCTGTGCATTGGGTTCTTCCGTCCTAAGTGCAGGACTCTGCACTTATCCTTATTGAACCTCATCAGATTTCTTTTGGCCCAATCCTCCAATTTGTCTAGGTCCTTCTGTATCCTATCCCTCCCCTCCAGCGTATCTACCACTCCTCCCAGTTTAGTATCATCCGCAAATTTGCTGAGAGTGCAATCCACACCATCCTCCAGATCATTTATGAAGATATTGAACAAAACCGGCCCCAGGACCGACCCTTGGGGCACTCCACTTGATATCGGCTGCCAACTAGACATGGAGCCATTGATCACTACCCGTTGAGCCCGACAATCTAGCCAGCTTTCTACCCACCTTATAGTGCATTCATCCAGCCCATACTTCCTTAACTTGCTGACAAGAATACTGAATATTCTTAGTATATATTCTTTATATATAAATTTATAGAATTTATATATTCTTAATATAAATACTGAATATTTATTTTAAGCCTGTCTTAAGCAGCTACATGCTGCTGAAACTAGGAATTACTTGAACTTGTATTAGGTAACATAGAACATTTACAGTCTAGGAAACTGAGATTTAGTACACACTGTACAAGTTTTGTGTTTGGGTTTTGGGGGTTTTCTTTTGCTTTCACCAATGTTATATTTTAATGGCTTTCACCAATGTTATATTTTAATATTCATCTGAATATTAGGCAGCTGTGGAAAGACCTTTGTGTGTTTATTTTTCGACAAGATTTGTTGCCACTGTGATAGCATTTACTTTTCACTTCTTCTCAAAGTGATAATTAGAGCTAACTAGAGTCTAAAAATGTATAATTATTGTTTGTTCATTCTTTTGTCCTCATTTCCTGAAACGCAGCCAGAAGAGGAAACTGAACTGCCTAAAGCTTGCTCAGCAAATTATCTGCTCTGAATCCTTGAACGGTCTACAATGTGAACCTACGTAAAGTCTAACCTCTTTTTATTGGAAAAAAAATTAGCACACACTACATAAATCCAGATTCACCTACAACGTGTAACAGGACCTTCTGACTGACTTTTACACCAACACTTATTTTTAGCTAACCTGTAGTTTGATAACAGCAATATCTGATCATACAAAATTATTAATCTGAGTATTGGTGATCTGAGTCCAATGAAAAGAGAAACACCCTCTGCAGTAAAAAGTTAAGTTATCTGATATTCCTGGGTCAATACCCTTGCAGAAGTCTATACAAGACATATTGTACACTCCAGGTGGATGACTCATCTGTGGTTACAAAACCATTTCCCAGTGATTTCACATCATGAGTCTCAAAAGCAAGGTGGCTAACTGCAATAGTCTCAAGGAAATTATGACCGCAGGTTTACTGAGATTACATGGACAGATTCTCTCTCTCACTTACACTATGTTTTTGAATTTTGGAAGATTATTCTGCCAAACTATTTCCCTTGAGTTCATGGACATTTTTCCTATTTATATGATGCTGTGGAAAAGCAGGATGGTCTAGCTAACCAAACATGAACTGCAATTCAGATATTCCTAAATTTTAGTCCTGCCTGTGCCACCAGTTTGCTGTATGGTCTTACCTATGTCACTAAATCTGTATCTCAGCTTTCCCACGCTATGAAATGGGAATAATACTTCCCCACTTACACAGAGTACTGTGAAGTTTAGTTAGCTATCAGGACTTCAGAATTGTTTAGTCTCCTTAGCAACAGGGCTATGTACATAAGGCTCTGCAGCCACTCAAATGGCTGTACTAATGGTCAACAAGATGTCATACAAACCGAGATGACTGTTTGCGCCTCAGCCTGCCTCTTGAAAAGCACTGCAGGAGAGTAGGCTACGTAACTAACTATGAGTGGGGGAATTCAGGGCATGCAGCAGCATGAG